TAAATAACGAATGAATAAAATTTTACATTAAATAATTCTATCTTTTTTAACATACAAACCGAAAAATTGCTTTTTCTAAATTTCACAAATCACTTTTTATTTACAATTTTTTGGTTATGCGGGAAATATTCGGATTCTTTGCGTTGCGTTGCCACACATTATTATTGCACTGCTCTTCCAATTCATTTAGGTTATTTATATAAAGGTATTCGATTGATTTTTGTTTGATTTATCAAACAATTTAAAGGTAGAAGGAAATCATATGATTTTATATCTTTATCAATGAGAAGTTCATTCACAAGGTAAGCGGCGGTATTGCTGTATTAGACTTGTTCGTATGTAAATTTAGAAGCATTCTAATATAAAAATACAGAGTATTTCAAATGTGTTAGCATCAACCATCAACTGGTTGAGTTGAGAGATGAGTTGGGAGTAGAAAGAATAACAAGATAATATATCTTTCGATTTTACATATTTATTCATTGTGGAAAACATATGCTATAGAAACAAAAAATTAAAAATTTTTTTTACTTGGTATTTTTTACAAATGATTATTGGAAATTAGGCGTATTAACTTCACGATTTGTTTTTAAAAGGGAAACATGAGAAGGAACAGGAAAATATTTGTTACGATAACCCGTTTATTGTGGCATTTAAAATTAGAATGATCAATGAATAAAATGTTAATTAACATTTTTTTATCAGAATAAAAAAAAAAAAAAAACATAAAATCATATATAAAATTGAATAGATTGCCTGTTGATTCTTTTTTTCCACTTGATGATGTTGACTTATTAGTTTTTGGTCCTTTTTTACGAGAAGTTGATCGTGTTCTTGGTTTTGGTGGCTTGGGAGTTCGAAGGAAATATAGACCAACCCCAGTTAAAATCACTGTGGTAGTAAGCCCTATCCCAATATAAAATACGTATCCTTTATCACTAAAATATTCTTTGATGGATTTGGCATAAGGTATTAGTTGGTTGGTCTTAACAGGCGTATCAGACGCGACATTAGAAGAGAGAGACATTTTTTCTAAAAAAATATTTTTATAGATCTGTCATACATCAAAATAAATGATCTCCGACATTTCCAAAATTGGAATTTCCTAATTAATGGGAAAATTGATTATTTTCTACCAAGCAGTGCATGAGATTCTTTGTGAAGACTGACAGTAATTA